TGTGTAAAACTATTATTGGGGGATAAATCTAACTTTATCTTTAATTTCATAACTTATTTTGTATGAAGGCAGTTGCATTTTACTAAGAGACCACTGATCTATATATCCTTTATTGTACAGTCAAGAGATTAATGAAAATTATTTTTGAGACAGGGCTTTTTTTTTTCCCATTTACAAAGGCTCTTTTTCCCTGCTTATTTAGGGGACTTGGGTACTCTATTCATCTCTATAGAACACCCAATAGTTCCCAGTAGAATGGAAAGCATATACGTAGTAAACACTCAAATGTTTGTGAATGACAGATTAAATAATAAAGGTTTACAATGCTCCTTAAACATCAATACTAGATAAATTAAGTTCAACATGTTCTATATAATAAGATACTGGAACAATAAATGTCATTTCAAAGACTTCCATAAGGAAGATTAATAATTAAAGATAGTGTTGCTACCAGTAAGATAGTAAAAAGTCAAGCCACATACTGGGAGAATTCATAATATATAAACACCAAAAAATGTGTATGGGGAATATATAAAGAGCTCTTATAAACTGATAAAAACAAAATATGAACAACTCTTTTTTCAAAAAATAGGCAAAAAGTTTAAATAAGCCTTCACAGAGAAATATATCTAAATGGCCAATGAGTACATGAATATGAGAGAAGGTACTCTATATTATAAATCATCAGAGAAATTAAAATAAAGCCTAAAATAATACCACCATCCATACATCTATGAGAATTAGAATGCCAAATGTTGGTGATGATATAGCGCAAGTGGCACATTCATATATTGCTGGTAGTAGTATAGTTGATACAAGCACTTTGGAAAACTCGGCAGTATCTACTAAAGTTAAACATGCCTACCCTGTGACCTAGCAATTCTACATCCAGATAAATATGTAAGAAAAATTAGTGCATCTATTCTACCAATGCACAAGAATAATAGCCACTATACTCATTATAGCTAAAAGCCAGAAAAAAAAACATCCAAATCCAACCATACAGTAAAATGACTACCAACCATACAGTAAAAATTAGATAATTCACATCTGAATCTCTTATACCATACAGACATTCAGCTAATTTTAAAATATGTTGCTGAAATTTGTCAAAAATCCCTTTTTATAATTGCATACTTTTTTGTCTATAATGATAATACACATATTATCATTACTATTATAAGAATATTTTTAAAAAGTTTTTCATTGCATTTTATCAGTAAAATGTAAATATTAATATAAAATTAATTTCACAAAGAAAAGAGAGGTAACTAATAATTTGAAAATATATATTAATTTCTTAAAAGTATGAAGTTTTTAGAAATATTAATATTTATTAATAGTTTTTTGAATTGAGTTATTTTTCTAAAAATTATAAGATAATTTTAGTCAACTTTTTAAAAATATAAATATATATATATATATATATACATACATATATAAGTGTGTAGATAAATAGGTAGCAGAAAGGAAGCAGAAAAGCATATTGAAAATACTAACAAAAGTACCAGGAAAAATAATCAACCATAAAAAAGCCTTGGTTATTGCCTCTTGTTTACCACTCAGTGGTAAATAACTCATTGGTAGATTCTTGATGCTTTCGGAAGACAAACTAATTCATTAGTTATCAGTATTTTAACCTAAAAAGATGAAGTTTTTAAAAATATTTTTAAATTTATATTGAAAATTTTCAAATAAACCCAGAAGAAAAGAGAGCAGCACAATGAAATCTTATGTGTCTGTTACCCAACTTAGTAACCATCAACTTTTCATTATTTTTTACATAATTTTTTAAAGTTAGTCTTTCATGAATTCCAAGAAAAACCTATAATCACTAATGGTAGATTCAGGTTCATTCAACATTTTCAAATCTTCAAAAGACTCCATCCTCTCCATTCAGGATGATTTACTTCAAATTTAGCAGACTACTCTTAGGGAAATGGTGTCTTTTCTTAAAGTCAGTGGTTTAAATTCTCTTCATTTCTAGACCAAAGTTAGAATATCAAACCAGAGGGAGGGCTCCAAAGTCATTCCACTCATCCCAGTCACAATTAACTTTCTTTGTAGTCTTGAAGATGTTGTAGAATGGCTGACAACATCAGAAAATGTAACAGCATTTGTTACTGATGTAACAACATTAGAAAATCTTAAAAATCATTAAAAATAAAATAAGTCACACACAAAGGAATATATATTGGATGATTCCTCTTTTTTTTTTTTGTTTATCCTATTGTGAAAAACAAATCTATAAGGGCAAAACCACATCAGTTTTTGCCAGGAACTAGGGATGAAGTCAGGCTATTGAATGCAGAGGGGCATGATGGGAATTTTGGGGGTGATGGAAATACTGTACATATCAACTGTGGTGGTATTTACATGATTGTCTACATTTGTCAAAATTCGTTGAGCTGTACACTTAAAAGGGTACATTTTTGTACATGTAATTATATCTCAATTTATCCTTTGAGTCTAATTTAATAAAAAAGAACCACTCCAAGATCTGATAGACCAAGTACAGTGGACTACTATCTTCTATGATTGAGATAACACACAATTACTGAAGTTTGAACTGCTGTTTGATTTAGGGAAAGCATATCACTTTTTCATTTTTTATCAAGCTTGTAATACATTAAAATATCCTATATGTGTCCAATTTTTCTCATAAATGAAGTACTGTATATTCTTTAAAGATTCCATCTGATATATTTAAGTCCACCACATGAAATTGGCAATATCTTTTGGAATCTAGACATTGCTATACAAGAGTATCTAATATTCTGTACGGCCTCATGTTATCTACAATTTAGTAAACATGCCTGTTTTTATAGAAAACATTGTTCTATGTAGAAAAATAATTTGAATTTGTTTTTGTTTGTTTTAGCTTGTGCTGAATTATATGGGCATTTGATTTGTATATGGTAAGAATCTAAATAAATGCAGAGACATTGAAGACTGATAAAATATACTTATCTTTGTAAGTGAAGTTACATATGCTCTGATGTTATCATTAAGTTTTCTTTTAAACCTTCTAAATATTTTTAATTCCAATAATGGCAAATTATTTTAATTAAATAATGTAAATTACTGTGGAGTTTTATTTCCTTCAGTTCTCTTAAACCTTTATATTAAGAATGTTTATATATTTTAAATAAAAACGTGACATTAAATATTTGTATGCAAATGTATCTTAAATTATCATACGCACAATTTAATATATAGAGATAAATTATTCTCATGTTTTACAATTTCATGTACTATTATTTGTTTGAACTTGTGATAATCCACCCTTCTAAATTGTCCTATGGAACACACACACATACACACACGATCTCAACCGAAAGAAATTTCCTTTCAGTATAGACTCCAGCTTATTTTTAGGTTAGTATGTAAACATTTTCAATTATAGAACAAAAAGTTTCCTCTCCCAAATAAACAAGGAAGTACATTTGCCATGTCACTAATCATCATTGAGAAATCACGCTGTACTATCAGATACTAATTGGGTTTAGATACCATATTTTATAGTGTTCTGTTATAAAATGTGCAAAAACATTTTAAAATGCATTATAGTCTCAGGCATTTATATAGAATTGATATTTCTATAGATAGATATTTCTATAGATATGGTACTCTTTAAAGTTTATTTTTATTTACTTATAAATTTCAATGATTACACATCTTCATGTTCCTCAAAATAGGAAAAATATAATACATAAGAAGGAAAAGACATGATTTGTAAACTAACCTTCCCCAATTTCTGGATACTTGAGTTTCTACATTCTTCTGTCTAATCATCCACTTATTCAGAAATATCTTCCCAAGACAGACATCTGCCCTGACTTTCCTGTTTTGAGTTTTCCCCAGGCAAATAAGAGAGTCAGACATTTCAAAGCAGCACACAGAGCAGAAGGAATTTACTTTCTTATCTAAATATAATTTAGGGCATGCACATTAGGGCTTGGCTGATTTTAAATGCACAGATTTATACATTTCATCTCTCATAATATCTCCTTTATTATACTACATATGGAAATGTCAATGAAAATTATTAAACTAGAAAATACTTTATGAAAGTCATAAAATGTTAGTTTGCATTGCATTTAAATCAAGAATTATGGCCAATCCAAAGCACTGTTCATGATCTCTTCCTTTTTCTAATTCAGTTTCTGTGATGCTTACTGGAAACTCTGTGGGCAAAGGAAGGTCATTTCTTATATACTAATAGCCCTTGGGGTTGGGAAGAAACCACCCCCCAGTGGTGGCATGACTGCTTTCATTCTGAAAAGTAACATATATCATTTTATCTGCAGTAAAAAGTCATAAAAAGAATGCAGAAATACAAGTATGAACTATACCAATAAACAGAAAAAATTTTCTGCATAATTCTTTGACACAGGTGAGAAGCGACTAGATTTAAAAAAATAATAATAACTCTAGTGAGAAAGTATCACAAACTACATGATTTTTTGTTACTTTGTAGGAAAATGCATGTTTTCTTTTCCATGTTTTTTAATACAATATTTTTTAAATATCTTGAATTTATTTATCGCTATATTCTAGGAGTTATACACAGATTCTGTTCTTGGGGGGCTTACAATGTAGTTGAAAACATAGGACAGGTCCTAAATTTATTCAAAACATGGATGAGGGGGAAGAAACCCAAAATCAATAAGTTTACCACAAAATGTCCAGACTGGCAGAATTGGGTACTTGAGAGCTAAAGCCAATTTTGAAGAAGTAAACTTACAGTTGACATACATTCTCTGTAACTGTATAATTCATACCTACAACTATAACCATAACAGAATAGTAAGTGAAAAATTTCAGGACATAAGAAATTGGTTAAAGAGATATTGATGAAAATTCCATGCTAGATCATTCCTTAAAACACTTAGATGTTGTTTAAGCATATTAAAAAAATGAAAATATCAAGGAATGCCAAATTATAGAGAATAAGGCTATTTTGCATAATCATTTTATACAAATGTGGTTCATCTTACCTCTGCTGCCAGTTGCTGAAGAGATGGTGAAGCTACAGAATACAGACTGGAGTTACCCCTTATGGGACTATGGAGACCTACATAAGCCACAACGTTTTTCTGCAGAACATTCTTGAAATCCTGAAATTAAAACAACAGAAGAAATCTATAACATAAATAAAAATAACAGGTTCTATATATTCAGTTACATATTGAAAAATACACATTTTCTACTTAAAATCATTGCATGGCACAAGTAGTTTTTTTTAAGCAATATCAGACTATTTAATAAGTATAGGCAAAGTCATAAAATAATTTTAAGTAAGGCTGGTAAGAAGTTACATGCAGCATATGATAAAATATTTTAAAGCATGTTCCTGAAAAAAGTCAAATTTTAAGAGAAAATGTTCTTAAATGGTTAAAATATTATGAAATTCATCTCCAGAATACAGAATGGAATATTTGGTCTAGTGATAGCACTTAATTTTATAGTCTCTGAATTAGAGAACAGACACAGGAAAACTATTTCAGTGATTAATAAACCAAACCTCTGCTTTGAAACAATGAGCTACTTTTCACACAACATGGCTCTTTATTCTGAGTAAAATGGGGAATAATACAACTGTGTCCCTGAACATATTACCTGAAATAAAACCTGATGCATTTTACACACATTAGTAGCATAAAATGATTCAATAGAATAGTTTTTCCACTTCTCTGCTGAACCTTACTCTCCAAAATGGCATTACTTCATGACTTAGGAACATCGTATATATTTCTTCCAACGCTATCAGATGAAAGACTGCGAGTCCTTGTATACCTAGCAAATCAATGATGTTACTTCTGTTTTATGTTGAAAATTTAGCTATCCCTCTGTAAGAGAGGTGAAAAGACAATTTGTTTAAATCTAATTATTATTTTAAATGAAGAGAAATGATAAACTTTAAGCACAAGCACTCTGCTTTACACATATTTTTAAAGTCCATTATTACACAAGCACAATGCAGAAAGAACTTCTATTTAGTGAATACATAGTAGCACACAGATACTGTCTATATGTTAGTCCATTTTATTCCCAAGAGACACTTATGACACAGGCATTTGTGTATGTATTTGAGACATCAAGTCTTGGGGAAGTTAATCTTGCTTAAAACCACATGTTTTACGGTAGAGAGATTTGAACTCAGCCTTTTCTAATTGAAATCTATAGCATTCCCATAATAGCCTGTGAAAAATGAAGATTCTTCACAGAAGAAATGGTATTTTTTTAAAGAATCTATTTAGTAAGATAATTTTCCTTAAGGATAAAATCAGTATTGAGTTAATTCTCTAATAACTCTATCACTATAAACTTTGTTTTTAAGTTTATTGATCCTTTTAATTATATCACCTAATCCTTTTAATTATATCTGTGGGTTTCAAGGGGTTTCTGTGCAAATAAATTTAAATAGGACAATATGACATGTCAACAAGTACTTTCCTCACTCATCTTCACTAGGAAATATTTTTTGAGCATAAATTGGTTTCCGTTCAAAATAAAGTTTCATTCTCATAAAAAGTAGATTTCATAACAGTAGATAGAACAAGAAAACTAATAGTTTTCTAAACTCCTCAACTAGGTAGTTACAAAATGGCTTTATAAACTGTATTGAAATAATTTTCTGAGAGATAGTATTTTAAAATAGTATATTTTTAAAGCTAACAATCAAATCTACATATAATTCACCATTTTCTTTACTCATACATTGTTGCCCAAAGTCATGGAAAAAGCCAGAAAGTTCCTGAATGCATAATTAGTTGTCAAATATACATATATACATAAAAACGTATTCTAGGATACAGGTTCCTAATCTTTTGCAACATAAATAATTTTTCCTATGGACTCCCACATTATAGTAGTTGTAATAATAATATCTGTTGATTGA